GAACAAACTGGGAGGAGGGTAGAGAGAATAATGCAACAATGAATGAATGGAAACCCAAAATCTCTGTAAATGTTTATGAAAATTAATAAAATATAATTTTGGGGAAAAAAAGGAAAGAATATACTGAATCACTGTATCAAAAGGAATTGGAAGACACAAAAGAATTTAATGACACAACATTTAAGCAAGAGCCTATGGTGATGAAGGAAGAAGTTCAAGCTGTTTGAAGGAAATAGCAACAAATAAGGCCCCAGGAATAGATGGTGTACCAAGTGACAGATTTCAGCCAGCAGATGCTGCCCTGGACGTGCTCACCAAATTATACCAAAAAATCTGGAGAACAACCACTTGGCCAACTGACTGGAAGAGATCTATATTTGTTCCCATTCCAAAGAAGGGTGACGCAACAGTGTGGAAACTACAGAACAATATCATCGATTTTTATATGCAAGTAAGATTCTACTGAAGATTATCTAAAAACGACCAGAACAGCACATCAGCAGAGAACTGCCGGGAAGTCCAGGCTGGGTTTAGAAGGGGTCGTGGTACTAGGGATATTGTAGCTAATGTTAGATGGATCTTAGCTGTAAGCAGGGAATACCAGAGAAATGTCCGTGTGTCATTGATTATGCAAAAGTGTTTGACTGTGGGATCATAACAAACTGTGGTTGACTCTGAGAAGAATGGGAATCCTAGAACACTTGATCGTGCTAATGTGAAACTTATTCTTGGACTAAGAGGCAGTCGTCAGAACAGAGCAAGTAAACACTACACGGTTCAAAATTGGAAAGGGTGTATGCCAGGGATGTGTCTTGTCTCCATACCTTTTCAACTTGTATGCAGAACAGATTATCCGGGAGGCTGGACTCCAGCCTGAGTAGAAATATGGCATCAAGATTGGTGGAAGATCTATTAACAATCTGTGTGATGCAGATGCACAACCCTGCTTGCTGAAACTGAGGAGGACCTGAAGCACTTGCTGCAGAGGGTCAAGGAATGCAGTCTTCAGTATGGATTGAGGCTCAATATCAAGAAGACAAAGATTCTCACCACTGGACCAATTGGCAGCATCAGGATGGATGGTGAAGAGATTGAGATTGTTCA